GTATATTCGTACTTTGAAAGAGTTATTTCACAAGCAAATGGGTAATTTCACTTACTCATGATTTGAACATTCCTAAGTAAGTGGGAAGGATGTCACTACGACTTTATGTTTGGCAATAAGGAATTCTGGATTTCAGGACTTCAAGAGATCCAAGTCGCTGGATCGTGCGCAAACTTTTAGTGTTCTTAGCTAGTTGACTCAGCTTTCTAAAAGTGCAACAATTTTGTCCGATCACCTCCACTATTTAAGGGTCTTGACTAAGGAGTAGCGTTTTTAGTGGGAGTGCCTCAAGGAGGAGAAGAATTATCGACCGTCGAATTTTGAGATAAACCGTGAATTAGAGAGATTCAAGACATAAGATTGGATAACTCCTAATTGATTTGACGCCAATGTGCTGTGTTGAGCCGCTCTTGAGGAATACTGACTGGTTTGCACGAGGTGCCTCGACTCGGATCTCCTGAGTTGCAGTCAAGAACTCGAGACTTCAAAAATCACAGAAAGTGAGATCGAAACCCAACGGTTGTCATTGGCAGTCTTGAGTTTGTGAGAAATAGAGTGAAGAAAATGACCTGAATACAGTCTTGTTCGCTGCGGATGCTGAGGGCGTGTCAGCGGTACCGCATTTGGTGCGGCGTCAGCCGGTTGTCCACAAAGTGTTGAAGCGGCGCAAGCGATAGCGGTTGGTGGAAAATGAACTGGAGCCGCGCCAAACCCAGCTACCCTGACACGCCCCAGCAACTGCAGCCAGCAAGACTGTATGTGCAATAAATATTTTCAGAATTCCGGCTATCCGTCATATGACACCCCATCGCGCAAAATCCCATCGCTGATTGATGAACCATTCGAAAGGTGAATAACAATTGATTCATTGGTGTTTAATTCTTTATTCATTCAAATGTGAGTATGAGATCCCTGCCGTTGTTTTGTAACGGAGGGTTTGGTAGCCGTGCTCGTGTAGCCAATGGAAACCTGGAACCTGAGTGTAATTGTGACTGTCCTCACCTGCCTTGCAGACAGTTCCGGGGGACAAGTAGAGCGACAAAGGTTTTCGCTGCACAACGACTCCTAGGAGGCCCTTGTCATTATGGTTATGCGGTTAGCACCCAGCCTTCAGCACAGGCTCTGCTACTACATTACCGGGCTTATTTCGCAGAAAGATTCTTGGGTTAGGCGATTTGTCCTTTGGTTAATTGATCATAGACTAGCGACGAATATCTGGGGCGAATCCAAAGGAAAGCTTGGGCATTTGAAAAACACTACTCATTTATCGACTTTTTTGTAGAGCTAGAGAGTAGTTGGGAGTGTGTGTTATTGTCATTGTGGTTTTTAAGGGATCCTCGTTTGCCTGGCGGTCTTGATTACAATCCTTCCCCAGTGCGGGACATAAATCGTTATGTCGAGCCCCTTGGCGGCAGCATGGACAGGTACCTAGAAGTACATTTGTCATTAGGAGAACTTTGTTCTATGGCGAGTGGCCCCGTAGGAAAAAAATTAATAATGAAGGGCACTTGCTTTCCTTGTCATTTTTACGATTAGTTTGGGATTCATTTGATTTTTTGTTGTTCTCACTATTTCATTTCCGAAGTTTAGCTCTCGCATGCGCTCTTCACAGCCTGTTGATCGAATTACTTACCCATCATTGGGTGGTGGTGGTGGTGGAAGTGGACCCACCCCTCTGGTTAGTTGTTTTTACCTATTACATCAGCTGTTGCTGGTTTTAGGCCATTGCCTCTGGAGGGGACGCTCTTTAGCGAGGCTATGCTACGTCATACTTACTCGTCTGTGCCCTCTCACCGAGACAGCGTGGCAGCCCTTCTAGCATGACAATTCGGCAGGGTCAACAGATCAGTCAGGCGAGTCAGGCCGTAACGAGTGAATTGCACACCGCTGTACGCGTTTTGAGACGCTGAGCCAAAACTTAATGAAGCAGCAGTTCAAGCAAGTCAGTGGAAATTGTGTCATTGCGTGGAGAATGGCCGATAGACGGCTGGGTGTTGGGGCGCTCGTGTAATTGTTGTGGTTAGGGCTTGTATTGTTTTGAGTGATAACTGAAGTGCTGTGTAGTCTCGAGTTGGTGAGTGCTCACTTGAAGGTGTTGTCCGGTGGCGGTGGTTCTGGGGAATTCCCACCAGGAGTAGTCTGTCTTCGCCGCTTCAAACCGTACGTTAACTTGAATGGTGTATATGAAGTTAATCGCATTTGATTTTGACGCTCTGCTTCTCATTGTAGGAATAGTTTTTGACCGAATGTTCTCTCTTGATATCATCGAACTAGTTGCGTGAACTCATTGCGATTCCTAGACCGATGTCCGAGTGGTTTTGGTGACTGCCATTCTAGTCACGGGCAAAAAAACTCGTGGTGGAGAATATTGAGGGGGACTCGAGGGGGAACTCAAATTCATCGAAAGGTAAGTACCGTTGAATAACGATGAAATGACCACGATAGAACAGCACATTCTGTCAGGTCATAAGAAAGGCAAAGGAAAAGTTTGCCTGTATTACCGCAAGTAATGGACAAGCTATGTTGTTTGGGTGCTGCTGTGAACTCTATCGAAAAGTTAGCCGGGACGAAAACTTTCGTAGCTCTCTCTCCGCTGAAACGTTCAGCAGCTTGAACCAGGCTGATCAAGACGAGTATAGCAGTGTGCATCTCACTGGGAGGGGTAGGCTAAACTGCTGATCCTTCCCCGGATTACGGGAAAGTTCAATACATGTCACCTTTTTTACTGCCCACTCTATCCCACTTGGAAGGCCAGCACGTGGGTGTCAGAATAAGGCTCACTCGCTAAGAGAAGTGCCCTTTTCCCGAGGGAGATAGCCCTTTTTTTATGAGACAGGGTTTGTAAGAACACTCCATGTTGAGCGTCTTGAGTTACTGAATTGAGTGAGTGCTTGAGCCATGAACTTTCTTGTATTTTATTGCAGTTTGGGCAGTCATATTCCGCATTTGCCAGTCAATCATATGGAGGAGCCACGAATTACGGAAAGTGAGTCACTGCCTTCTAGAGAATGAGAGGTTTTAATAAGATTTATTCGGATTTCCTTGTGCTGTAGATGGATAAGCAAATCCTAGTAGTGTTTTGACTATTAATTAGTTATGAGCGTCTTACTGGAGTTACTTTTTAGCAGCTCAGTCAGAAGACCGTACAGATAATGAGATGTCTACAAGACTCAGTCTCGTTGTCGTTCTGACATTTGTCACTCATTTGATCTTTTTTGTCGGTTTTCTCCAGTCCAGGGCTTCCTTAGTCTGCATGTTTCTCCTCAGTACTTATCTCTTTTTATTGGTCTTCAATTTACTGATGTGTGAGCTGCATTGCAGTTATTTTTGGAATGTTTTGTTGTGTTGTAGTTGTCCTATCCATACGTTCTTTGTTATCTTTCAATAATATCTGTAACATGTAAGGTGTTGTATTCGTCAAACTGAACTGAGTGAAAGCACCATTGTTTATTTGGACCTAGTTGAAATGTTGAAAATCGTTATTTCTTTTGAGTGAAAAATAAACTCGAGGAGAACAGGCTTTTGTATGGCTTCTAGAATCACAGGCGATCTAAGAGTCTTTAGAAATCATTTTATAAACTATGGCAAGGCTGTGCAGAACCAAAACAGAACGATTACATCCTTGCCGATAAACGACATCAGGACAAGTGGGACTCAACAATCAGGGCACATCACTGGTTGGGAATTTTGCTCGAGTCCGTACGATCCCCCCCACCCCTCCCCCCAGTTCCATCCTCTGATACGGTCAAGCGGGGGAGGGGGGTGGAGAGGATATTGCAAATGTTGAACGAGAATAACCGCGAAGAAAGTACGACCCCTTCGTAGTTACCGCTTTCTTAGATTTCGCCAACTTTCCACCACTTTTCCAGTTTTCCGAAACTTCGCGAAAATTCTACTTTTTCCTCACAATCTCAAAATTTTACCGTCGAGCGAGGGTGGGGGAGGGGGGGTTGTACAGGCATGTGAAAAAGGAAACCTAGAAAAGTCAACAAGTGGAAAAAACTTCCCAAACAGCCAAATTTTCCCAGGAAGGCAACTAAGACCCATGCCCCCGCCCCTGCCAACCACGAGCAAATACGACCATCCATCCATGAAACAGGAAACATCAACTATCGAGAAAATTTCTCTTGGACCGAATACGACCCCCACCGTTGGGGAATAACCAGTGATGATGTGCACTGTCAACAGTTTCACATTTGGAAATGTCAAAATTCTAAGCGCACGTATGAAAGGGCACCGAGTGAAAGTGCACTTGCAGAGTATGGATCGATGGTTTTTTTTGTAGATAAAGTAATCTTATTCGTTGGCGTGTCGCGGGGCTGAGTTTAGCGCAGCACCAGCCCAGCACCCTGACATGTCCGGGAGACGTGCAACAGAATCGTCCGGAGCAGCGCCCGCGGCACGCGGCGCGTCGCGCGGCGAATGACGCAGCAGCTCACGGACGTGCATTTGCTAGCCGATAGCTTTGCGATTGGAGAATGATTTACTACAGCGTACATCCGCAACGTTTACCAGATTTCATCAATAATTGAAAATCTAACGATGTTTTTCTTGATAGTAACACACAATTGTTTGGCGGATCCATAGACGCAACTTCAGGAAATAAACAAATACAAAAGAAACCTAAAAGGCTGTTATTCTCCCTATGTTCATGTGGTTCATACGATTCGCGCAGTC